TGAGACGAGATTGTTCAGCATAGAAATCCAGTCCCTTTGGCCAAGTAACGTTCATGGTATTCCAGCCCTGAGAAGGGGATTGGAGGCACTGTTACTTTTTCTTTTTTAGGGTCCAGTCGTACCTTATCTCAGGTCTGTGGATATCTGCAGGGCAGGATGCGATCCTGAACGACCGCAACAGACGTCGTCCAGCTCGTTGGTTCAGCCCTTCGAAACCAACACGGTCGGGTTCAGCCCTTCGCCGGTTGCGTCAGGCTTCGAGGGGAGGCTTGGCTGAAAGAAGATAGAGGTCTTGGCGATGGGTGAGGATGACAAGCGAGCCGAAGAAGGCCATCTCCGGGACTCCGCTCGAGGTTAAAGCGCCTCCTGGTCTTCCAGCGAAGCTTCTTTTCAACCCGATTTCATGCACAACTGCCGCCCGATGCAGGCGATGATGCAGAAAAGCATTTGCCAAGCACTTAGGTCCCACCCGAAGCGGAAGACCCAAAACCTGGCCGTCGAATCGGGGATCGATCTCATCCGGTGGAACCCAGGGATTTTCAAGAGGCACGGCAAGATTGTAGCCAGAAGAGCAAAGGAACAGATGGCCAAAATTGCCACAAACCATTGGCCACACCCCAAAAAGCCGGCAAAGAAGCTGCCTTAGGCCATGCTTCATGCTATTGGTGCCATATATGCACATATCTTTTATGTATATAGCTGTTATGTACACTGTACACCCATCAAAAGTACTGTTCAGTGACGAGGAAGTTGCTTCGTCCTTGGCCGAGTCGTGCTCTGAGGATCAGCCAGCAACTTGCCTTCTTTGGATCCCCCGGGTGTGTTCGGCAGCATGAGGCTTTTGGGTCCTTCCTCGCCTCCAACTGACTGACTGAGCAACGGAGCGAAAAACCTGACTGCTTTGGAACCTTTTGGGACGGACTGGTCTCCATGGGCTGGATTGTAAATGAGTTGGCCAGAAGCCACACACTTGAGGAACCAGAGGGCTCAGTTCTTTCCTTTGTTGTCACTGGTGCATAGCAACAAGCCATCAGCGGGCAAAAAGCCCCTGGGATTTCTAGGACAAGTTGTGCACCAACGGCAGCAGTGTTTATTTGACCCAAGTGTTGGCCGGATGGTTGATGGATAAGTCCAGAGTTTGAAGAATCTTGTGTTCCGCATGAATGGATTTGCTCCTTGCAGTGAAGACGGTTGCCATGAGCAGACGCCTTGACCAGGTACTTGTGAACTCGAGAAAGCCACAGAGCCGACTGAGGCTCAACAGAATGCTTAAAGCTCAACTTAAGCTTCTGTTGAATTGTCCACTGACGGCCTGGGATTGCCCGGGGCCATTCATCCTCTCCAGATGTGACAGATCTTTTCAGCCTCGAGTACAGGTGGCACCTATTGGTTCACCCCACAGGGGCACCTTCCTGTTGAACCTACTTGCACCTACTTCCTCCGCGCTTCCAGAAAACCGTCCTCTGAGGTTTACTTGGGCCTACGACTTCTTCAGCGATTCGCCCCTGAAGCACCTGAAACAGGGCTGGGCTGGGACTTTACGCCCTGGCGAGCTACTCTACATGCCGGGCGCCACCTGACGGACCTGGGAGGGGGGCCGCTTTGGGGCACCAACGGCCGGGGTACTTGGTTCAACGACATGGGAAGGAAGGGAGTTTTTCTCATAGCACCATGAGTTTCGAAGAGACCCTTAGGCCTAGGCGAAGCATGCTAGGCCGAGGCGGCGTTTCATTCTGGGCCTCTTCAAATGACCGTCCTTCCACTTCACCCGGCTTCGCACGAAGGAACCCGTGGTTTTCAACCGACCTGTTCTCCGGGTGTGTGAACCGCACGGCCAAAAGATTGCAGGTCACGCTGTATGCGAAGGGAGAAGAGGTTTTCACAGTCACATCTGGGAGGTGTTTTTGGTCCTACCAGGATCGAGGTTTGGCGAGGTTGGCTGGAGGTCCAGTCTAGTAGTGGTAGGGTCATCTAAATGGACCCCTTGGATGACCCAGGTCTGTTTTTGGTCTGTTCATTCGGTTTCAAAGGTTTCATCGTGGAGAGCTGTGACTGGATGACTAAGATGGGCTAACCATCTAACCACACTGCGAATCAGTCGCTTCAGCAGTTTTTCTGAACCCAATCTTTCTTAGCCTGTTTGGTTTACCATGTCGCATGAATCCTGTTTGTGTTGCAAATGGCTGTTGGTATATGAGTTTGTTTTGAGGCACGGGCCTTGCCCCCCCCCCCGAGGAGTGATTCGGTTACAAATACCGTTGGGTTTCAGTCAAGCGCAGAAAAAAAAAACGGGGCAGGGATTCCTCCTCGCGTATGATTAGAGAAGCTGAGAAGCTTGTGTTCAAGCAGCAAACCATGCTCATGCCAAACAGCGGTCTCGAGCACATCTCACCAGAATGCATATAATTTGAAATTTATGGCTAGCCCACAGGAGCGCTCTTCCCCGGCCGAAGTCCACCCTCAGCTTGTGAAGGCTCAGGACTTGTCAACTTAAAAAGAGGGATTTAACACAACTGTTGGAACGAACATGTGGGAAAATCCAGCACTCTGTCAGCCGCCAACACAGGACACTCCACTTGCTTGGACACCTCATGTGAACATAGCAGGCTTGAATGCAAAGAACATCATAGAACATCGATGTTCTTGTGTAAGCACCATGTAACAAGAGATTCTTGATACTGCTTAAGCTCGGGTGTGCATGCCTGGTCTTCCTACTAATACAAGTTGTTTACGCCCCATCTCCGAGCACAGGCAATTGCAAGGTCTCTTTTCGCAAAGCGGTTTCTTTTCAGAATGACGTGATGCGGTCTCGTCGGTCTCTGCGTAGCTTTTTGTTACGTAAGAATGCAACTAAGAAGCTTCAAAGACCAACTAAAAAGCTTTACGAGTAGCTTCAAAGACCGTTCGGTTCGTAGCTTCTTGTTACTACAGGTGAAACGATTCCCAAGAAGGTGTCCAGATGATGCAGATTCCTGGCCGTGCGTGCGTAGGATTCAACCTGGCCGTGTGTGCAGATCTCCCGTCCTGTGCGCCAGATAATCCTTGATGGCATCCCTATAAACACCCCCCAAATTAGACTAAACCAAGCAAGCAAGCTGGGTGTCTTTTGGGAAGATTCCTTTTCATTTCAGGAGATGAAGATTCATGTACGGATGGTATGGTAACTCACTCAACCGACAAAGACCTGAGGAGATGTTGCATCACATCCGGAACTCCTGCAAGCATCTTCTCAGCATCGCATGGGCAGAACTCTGGACCGGCGGAACTCCGGCGGAAAGCCACAAGACCCCTCTGGGCGGGGCCTTGGGACGTTCACCGTTGGTTCGCTTGGAGTGGATGGGATGTGGATCCCATCCGGGTCTCATCCCGGATCACCAGACAGACTGACCTTCTTCGTGCTTCTTCGGCCATTCTTGGAGGGAACCGGTCCTTCCATCGACCTTTTCACTCATCTTCTTGAATGTGTAGGAAAAATTTCTGGTTGACAGTGTGGTGTCGTGTTCGCTGTGATCAGCTGATCAGCTGAGGTGGGAGCCTCATGAGGGCTCCTAATCACGGGTGCACTTGAAGGATGGAATCCAACATATCAGCCGGTGTTGTGTGATTAGAATCTGACTCCTACCCTGATCCCGGATGAAACTTTACCATGATGAGTGCTTTTGGTAATTATATGATCAAAGCATCAGAGTGGATCGAAACCGTTTCGAACTGCTTGGGTTTCCAAGGCCCTTGGGTTTGGGTGAGCGACCCGCCCCATCAAGGCATTCGTTCACGATCTGCCGCCGGCCCTGGCGAGCGACGATGGCCAGGGATGTGGCGCTAGAGAGTCTCAGCGAATGGAGTGAAGGCGAAGTCTGCTTTGAAGGAGGTGGGACTCTGTGTGACACATTTTTTCGCGCGGCTGACCCGAAGAAACACAAGCGTACCGTTTTTTGGGCGCACGCGTGGACAGCGCAATTCACAGTGACCAACCTCGCTTTCACGTCTGCCGTGGACAATGTGTTTCTGTGGAAGAGCTTTAGTATGTCTTTGAAGCTTCTTTAGTAAACAACGACCAAAGCTTTCTAGTATATAATGACCAAAGCTTCCTTGGGAATCGTTTCACGTGTAACAAGAAGCTACTAGGAGCAAAGGGCATGGCTACTAGGAACAAGAAGCTACTAGTGAAGTTTCCCACTGAAGCGAGTTCACCTCTCTCCACACCGAGGACGCTGAAGACCCTGCGCTTGGCCGCCGAGGAGGAGACCCACCTCGGGGAGGCCCTGGCAGCGCTGCGCGCGCGCCGCGCACGGCGGAAGAGGCGCGGAGGAGTCGGGGCGGGGTCGGCGTCGGGTGAAAGGGAGGGTGCGTGAGATGGGATGTAAGTTTCCGTTACCAACGCCCGGTCCCGATTTTTACATAGACACATTTGGATGAACGAATTTGCTGAGAAGGGGGAAGACGATTGAAGGGATCGGGGCACCGCCTTGGACCTACATTTACTACACGCCGGACATTCACGCTATTCACGGAATTCACGCTACAAAATGAAGGCCAATCAATCTCCGAAAAACGGACAAGCAACAAGAAGCTAGTAGAAACAAGTGCCTTACTACTAGTAACAAGAAGCTAGTAGAGCAAAAGAACAAGCTGTCAAGATTGTATCTCGCATCGCTTCCGCGGTGGACTGAAACGTCAAGTTCTGCGCCGTGCCCGTCACTTCACCCGCGCAGGTGAGCCACCCAAGTAGCCCCCGACCTTTGAACGCGCGCCGCCCCGACGTATGCGCCCGAACAGGCGCGCGATACGGGTCCTTGGCCAAAGAGCCAGGGACATGGAGTCGTTCCTCGGGCAGTTGAATTCGCTGCTCTCAAGTGCTGAAGAAAGCCCGGGGCAGTGCCTTCAGAGCGAGAAGCCGTGGCATGCCACTCAAAAAGCCAGCGCCATCGGTTTTCTCAATCGAACTCCAGCGATCCAAACCGATGTGGAAAGGACTTCAAACCCAAACCGACGATCCCGAGGAAAGGGCTTCCACAGCGAGGAGCTGCTCTTGTCGGGAGGCCCCAGGTGCTGATCCGAGCCGCCAAGGTCCCGGCGCCCCAAAAGGGGTCGACTTCGGAGGACGAAACAGGTGCCAAACAGCGCACCATGCCATCGTACACCATAGATCTCTTTCAGGGAGTCGCTGAAGTGACGGATCAGCAAGGCGAGGATGGTGCATGAGATGCACCTGGTTTTGCTTAAGGTGATCTTTTTTTGGTGTCCCGAACTGGTTAAATGCCCTAACCCGGTGAATTTATCTTCCAGGTTCCAAACCAGCAAATCCAAGTCATGTGCCATTTTTTGGGTCCATCAATGGTTTTCCAAGGTGTGCGAAGCCGGCGAAGACGCGCGCGCTTGCAACGGGTACTGCGCTAAAGCGCTTTTTGCGACCGAACGAGATTGGTCACCTCGGAAGTTATTATATATCTACATTTTGCGACATTGTCCACCACCCAAACGGACCCAATAGCGATGTCCATCTTGCCCGAAGTGAATCAACCCGGACTTGTCCCCCTTCACTGGGCTCTACCCCATCTCACTCTTAGTAGTGACCACTTCGAAGACTGCCACGAAAAATGCGGCTTCACAAGCCACCAATGCCGTCACGAAACTCAAAGGGGGTTTCGTCACTGACTCCTTGGGCATCGAAGACATCCACAAGTGCAGCCTGGGATTCTGCGGTCCAAACACCACGAAGCTCTTCACATCCCCGGTCACCGCCCGGTCACCGTTCTTGACGTTCCCCCCGGTCCACCGCTTTGGTTTTGGGGAAGGCTCGGCCACATGAGCCATTCTTTTGGGGGGGCCTTTTGCTCAGCTCGTGAGGCCGCTGGCTACATTGAAAACGGTTGAACCATCGAAGTTTCGACCAATTGTGGGGTGAACGGGTGAAAAGGTCCATGTTTGGTTCATGTTTCCCAGACTTGCAGGTGCAAACCTTTGCCATTTGAAGAACAGCATGGACATGACGTGTGTCCTCCCACACCTTTTTACTCCGTCGTAGAAACCGGACCGTGAGGCCGACGTCCGTTCCGCCACCGCCCCGTTCGCAGCGTTCGCAGCGGGCAACGCCCAGGGCCAAACAGCTGGCTCGAAAGATCCTCAGTGACGAAGTGCCGCGCAGCCCCAGGGGTCGAAAACGAAGCCGAAACGGCAGTTTGAACGGGTCGACCCGTTCACTGAGCGGGCGCTTTGCGGTGGCGTTCATGTTGGGATGCCAGTTGTGAATTTGAGGTAGGATCTCATTCTGTTGAGCCAGGTTGTCACACTATGTTGTGTCTGCCGCCGTTTGGCTCCTAGGGCCCTTGAGCTATACCGTGCTCGCTTTCGCAGTGAAAAGAGCGTGTGGACAGTACGATTCCGGTTGCTACCGACATTGGTAGCGGAGCAGGTGACGGCCTGACTCCGGCACGTACTGATCCAGGTCATTGGAATCGTAGAACATCAAGCCTGAGCTTGCATTCCTTGCGTGCTTCCGCTTGCCTCCTCTGATCCCGTTGGGGACAGAGCCCGGAATAGATTGCTCGCCCGAGCAATCTCCGTCGGAATCGTCGAACATGTCCATTGCTGGACTCAAGTTCCATTCGGGTAGCACTGGTGATAGAATAGGCAACCCCCTGGAAACTAAGAGTGGGTCTTACATCTATTGGGGAGATCCTGCATCACTTCATGATTGGAAATTTCGAACCGAACTCCGCATCAAGCTGTACGACCAAGCCCAAACGCAACCAGCAAAGAAGCAGGATCCCGTGACTGGACCTGCCGATGAAGGGGAGCCTTGGCCACCAGAGTCAGACGAAGGATTCGCATTCCCTTCGCCTGGACACTATCCCGAGGAGTTTGAGCCCGAGCCGCGTGAGACTGCCGGTACTCCCAAGTCGAAGGTTGATGCAACATCACCGAAGGCTTCGTCCGTTAAGTCAGACAAGTCGAGCATCATCGATCGCAGTGTCCTAGTGAACAAGATCGTAGAAGGTTTGAGAGGTGATGCCTTTTTGCTTGCCAGAGACTTAGGTCTAGAGACACTTGCACGTCCAGGGGGACTGGAGCGTCTCATCGAGGTGATACGTAACCATGTGTTTCCTCGAGCCTTGGAGGAGAGTAAGGAGCTTTTTCGCGCAGGACAGAAGCATGGAGGACCACTGTCGAGACAGCCTACAGAGAGCATGTTGTCGTACACTCAGCGTCGACGACGCTGGTGGACCTTGTTGGTTGAGCTTGACCCCACAATGATGATCTCAGAAGCTTTCCGCACAGAGCTATTGCTGGAGATGTCAGGTATTTCCAGGCAGGAGATCCTTGTGGTGAAGGCTTGCCGCAAGAGCGATGACTTCGAAGGTACTGCACGAGTCCTGGTTGACAACTACAGTGGAATCCATCTTCGTGAAGGGTCCCGATCCTGGACAGGACGGAGGATTCAGCCTCAAATAGGCAAAGGCAAGGGGTACCAAAAGGGGTACCAAGGCAAAGGCAAAGGTAGCCAATACCCTCGTGCTGGTTACAATGCCATCTATCCCGATTGGGAAGACAATTTCGAATGGAGAGATGAGGACTTGCAAGAACATTGTCATGAAGAAGATTCTTTCGTAGGCATGCTAGGAGGGATCGAAGAGTCTGAAGAACATGAACATGCTAGCCATGCCGAATACGAGGAATTTGAGTATCATAATGATGTTGATGAATATGAAGCAATTGCCTTGAATGCAGTGGTTGATTGCGAAGATGCCGAAGAACGTTCCTCAGGTGATGCCATCCAATTGCAACTTGCCGCATTCGTCGCTTTCGGAAAGGCTAAAGGCAAAGGCAAGGGTAAACCTAAGGGGAAAGGTAAAGGTAAGATAGTGAAGTCTCACCTGAGCATCGAGCAACGCCGCCAGAAACTGTCAGAGATCAAGGCGAAATCCAAGTGTCTTCGTTGTGGTGGATTAGGTCATTGGGCCGGAGATCCCCAATGTAAGATGCCCAATGCCCCGAAGACTGGATCGGTCCCGAAACCTGCTGCACACATTGCCCACATGAGTGATTCATCCGAGGACGAAGGGATTTTCCTAGATGCAGCGTCTCCAAAGAATAGCATTGCTCACATGGCCGTGAAGGCCAGCTCAGGAGTTCGCCCGGAGGCACCAGTGAGTCCCAACGATCTCGCAAGGCCTGAAGGAAGCGATAGGAAGTTTTTGGCTGGTCAGTTCAGGGGGAAGACTTTTTGGCAGATTCTTCATGAGCACCCTGATTACCACCAATGGGCCACCAAGAATGGTAAGAGTCCAATCGCTTCGGCTTTCGTCACATGGGTTGATCAGCATTTTGAGTACAGGGGAGCTTCAGTTTTCAGGAAGGTTGGTGGTGCTCCTTCTTCATCGTCATTGCAGCCTATCCCAAAAGGGTCCTCAAGGAAGAAACCACCATATCCACCAAAGGAGAAATGCAAGAATTGTTCCGAGTTCACCAAACAAGGGAGCACAGCATACACCATCAAGAAGACATGCCTTGTCTGTGGGAACTCCACCACTGAGCGTAGAGAGCAGGCCCCGAAGTTTGCATATGACGATTGCCCGCACTCGGACACCGATTTTCGAGGTTCTTCCAGGTCTGTTCACCGTGTGTTTTGCAAGCTTTGTTGTTCGTTTTTGGATGAGACTCCGATGGAGCTCCAAAAGACTAGGAAGGCAGCCTCTGAGAAAGTCGTCAACGCACCGCTCGATAGGATCCCAATGATTGAACGTTTGGTTGAAGAGGAACCCGAAGAAGGACACACCCCCGAGATGCTAGAGAAGATTTTGACTGAATTTGCCGCCCAAGTCACGTTGGCAGCCGAAACCAAGGCAGTGACTTCGATCAAGCTGCACGAGCTCCTCCACCAGTCCATCGAAGAGAGCAAAGGAGACTCATTCACCATGATCGATTACACCGAAGACTCAGACCCTTTCGCAGGGATCGGTGTTTGCTTTCATGGGGAGGAACCTACCCAGATGACAGATGGTTTGGTGCACAGATTTCACGAAGCCAGGGACATGTACAGCCCAGACGACGGGAACATCTACGTCGTTCTCGACGAGGGATGTAATTCCACCTGCCATTCAAAGCACTGGGGAGACGTCGTGGAAGCCAAACTGAAGAAGCTGGGGTATGATTTCCCTTTCTCAACCACAACGTCGAAGAACTTTGCCGGATTAGGTGAAAAAGGGACCACTACAGAAGGATCCCGCACATTACCCTTTTCGTTGCACTTCGACGAGGGAGATCCAGTGCATGGTGTTCTTGAATCCCACCAGCTGTCGAAAGGTCGATCTCCGCTGCTTTTGTCTCTTCATGCTCAGGCACACTTGGGACTAGTAAAGGACCTCAAGAATGGTATCATTAGCATCAATGGAAAACGCCTCAAAGTGTTCAGATGCATACACACCGGTTTGATGATGTTGGCAATTACCCCTCAACAATTGGTCCAAAGTCTCGAAGCCACCATGCCCCAAAAGATTCCAAAGTGTCATCGCAAATTTCGTGTCGCCCTCACAGCCTTCGATACTCCGATGGAGAGATTGGATACGGCAGAGCGAGGGTACCAAGCCCAGACTGCCGAAGGTATCCATCGTGCGCTTGGCAACATCATTGGCAATTTGAAGAGCCGTGAGTTTTTGCTGGTCACAGGAGGTGACCGGTTTGAAGACAGGTTGGCACAGCATGTTGGCAGTGGTATCCCCGTGAAGTACATCAACGCCAAGTCGCTGTGGGATCCCGACCAAGATCCTTCGTTGCGTGGACACGTAGGAAGGCATCCGGCCATTTTGAATGGTCTTAGGAGGGATCAGAGAGGTCTTGACCGCATCTTCCGTGAGGTGGACGACTTTGTGGAGCACCATGACAAGGGAGTTTTGGATGTGCGCTGCAAGTCAGGGCGTCATCGTTCTGTGGGCGGAAGCATGTTGATCCACAGGCATCTTGCTTCGAAGGGCTTCACATGTGTTGTGATTCATTCTCACTCGCCTGAATGGCGTGAGATGTCGTGCGGAGGACGTTGCACTCTTTGTGGGCCGCTTTTCGGCGATACAACTGTGACATTGACTCCAGCACATACAATGAATGTTCACACTCCAAGAGCTGTTCGAGGTGATGCGGACGACCACGTGCCGTGGCGATCCGGTGAGCGTTCAACGGCACCACCACCAACACGAGAAGAGGCTATTCGCAGCACCAGTGCAAAGGCCCGTCCACTTCCACCTAAAGCCTGCCCTCCAGTACTTTCGAGGCCATCTTCATCTTCACGACCGCCGAAGGCGAGTGACGCCGTGGCATCTCGAAAGAGCAAACCAATGCCGAGCGCTGCCGTGACCTCGTCTGTGAGGCCGGTTCCGGATTTTGATGATGGTGACAGCCATGAAGACGACACCAAGTTGGACGAGGTTGAAGAAGAGATAGAAGAGGTTGAGGTTGAAGAGCCAGAGATTCCAGCAGAAGAAACTTCGAGCGGAAGCCAAGAGATTCTGCAAGCCCTCAAGAGGCTGACAGATGCCGTGACGACGCTTGCAAATCGCAATCCACGGTCCCGTAGCCCATTGAGGAGGAGGAAGTCAGCTGGTACATCAGAACCCAGCCAGAGGCCAACTAGGTCTAGGAGTCCGGTTCGTCCGACCAGATCAACAGTGAAGACAGCTCCTACGATGCCGAAGACTCCACCACCTCCGCCGAAGCCTGTGAGTCCGCACACTCCTGATCATCCACCACCACCAAATCGTCCGCCGCCCCAGCTCTTGTCCAAGTCCAGGTACGATGAAGATCAACGTCCAGGTTTGGAAGATGAGTTGTGGGTCCTTTTGACCAATGATGGGGTGCCGAAGGTTGATCAGGTGGATCCTGAACTCCTCCATGTTCTGGCCGGTGCAGCTAGGGATTGGAGCAACCGTGACAGGACTTTGTGGTTGGTGAACCGCGATCTGCCGCCCAAGGATCAGCAGTGGCATGGCATCCGCGTGGACATCAAGATCAGGGGTGGAGTTTACACTTCAGCAGTCTCGAAAGCAGGCTGGATGACAAAATGGGGTTGGATCAAGTCGGTCTACGTTCGAAAACGTGAACCTGGAGCAGTCTGGGAGCGCATCCAGAATGGAGCGCCTGTAGGAG